TAAAATAAAGTTATAAATTTCTTAAAGTGCACACGAACTTTATGGACACCCTGTATATGGAAAACATATCGTGGAGTTTCTGGAAAATTCTATATATGAACACCTAAAATTTCTCATTAAATCCATTAAAATATTAATAATAAATATTATTTCCTAGTCTAGGAACAACAAAACAAACGTAAAATAGCAAAAAAACATATACTGGGGTATTTGAACTTGTAACTCACATGACAAAAAAGAACCATCTAGAATGTGATGTGAATACAGTACCCGTGTACCCTGTTGTTGAGAAAACGCAAAGTGTACCATCTCGGTGAGGAAGACGGGCTGTGATTGATGCAATGGAGAGAGACAACAAAACACAGCTTTCTATTTTGTAATCTGGCCTGTGATTGGTGTTTTGGCCGATGCTCAGATCGGCAGCACCTTCCCTTGTTTTTCTCTCACGGCCATTGCGGTTCAAGCTTTCTTGCCGAGCGGTTTACTGTACCAATTTATGCTGTGCTTTGTGTGATTTTTTTTTTTGTTTCTTTGTATTGAACTTTGCATTTTCATCCTCTGCAATGGCCCCCAAGCATACTGCTCCTTCCTAGGCTGGTTACTGAGCCTAAACTCAAACAAAGAATGATGATGATTGCTGAGAAGGTGAAACTTCTGAATATGTTGAAGGAAGGGAGAACTTTCGCTGCAGGAGCTCGCGATTTTAGCGTGAATGAATCCACCGTTCGCTACATCAAGAAGGATGAGGCTAACATTAGGAAGACAGCTGCCATCACCTTTAATAAGTCGGCAAAGAGAGTGGTTACGGCTTGTAATAAAACTATCATTTGCATGGAAGCTGTTTTGGCCGTATGGATAGCCGACTGCCAAAAGAAGAACATAGCCTTGAATACGAACATCATCCAAACAGAGGTTAGGAGCCTGTACGATACTTTCGCCACTAAGGAACCTGAGGATGACAGTGGCGACCACAAAGAAGACAATGTAGAAGATCTGCAACCAGGGATGTCCAGTGATTCACAACCTAAAAAAAACAAAAAAACGTCCTTTTTCTGCTAGCAAAGGGTGGTTTGCTAAGTTTCAGAAATGCTTCATCCTAAAAAGCGTTTCCCTGCATGGCGAGGCTGCTTCCGCTGACACGAGCATTGCTGAAACATACATGAGTGAAACTTTCAAGAAGATTATCTCTGAAGGGGGATATAAGCCCGAACAAGGTTTTAATATGGACAAGACGGGCTTGTTTTGGAAAAGAATGCTGTTGCGAACTTCCCTGTACAAAGAGGAAGCAAAAGCCTCTGGCTTTAAAGCATACAAGGATTGTGTGACCCTTGTGATGTGTGGCAATGCTGTGGGATTTTTGTTAAAGCCAGGACTTATTTACAAGTCTAAAAACCCAAGGGCTTTAAAAAACAAAAACAAGAATCTGCTATCCGTACATTGGATGCACAATCCAAAGGCGTGGATAATGAAGATGCTGACCTTCGACTGTTCTACCAGTATTTTATCCCGCAAGTCAAGGTGTATCTATTAGAGAAAGGCTTGCCATTCAAAATCCTTCTTATGGATAACGCTGGTGGCCACGCTATTGATCTGTTGCATGAGGGCATTCAGATTGAGTTCCTGCCGCCCAACACTACGCCACTATATTCAACCAATGGACCAAGGGGTTATCAGGGCGTTCAAGGCCTTATATACGAGGAATGTCCTGGCAAGCCTGGTTGCTTCTGTGGATGCCACCCAAGAAGATGAAGACGAAAATTTTAACTTGGAAGGCATACTGGTGGCAGTACACTATTGCTATGTGCCTCCAAAATATCCAGAAGGCATTACAAGAAATGAAGCCTGCCACCATTAACATGAGCTGGAAGAATTTGTGGCCCAAAGTTATTTACGACAACAAGGGATTTACACCTGCTGAAATTCAACACTCTGCAGTACAGAAAACTTTGCACTTGGCTGTGATCATTGGAGGTGACAGCTTTGCAGACATGACCACGGGAGATACTGATGAGTTATTAGACTGCCACTCCCAGCTGCTAATCGATGCAGACCTTGATGACTTGACAAAGTCGGCCAGCGAAGAAGAAGAAACGCAGCAAGAAATGGCTTGAATTTGGAATGGCTGGCCAAAGAATTGAAAGAGGGGTCACAGGAATGGGATGGCGATATGGTTCGTCCTGTGCAATTTTGCAACAAGGTCGATGAAGTCATGAATCCTGACGAGATGCTCTTTGAATGGAAAAAGAAGCAACTTCCTATCACAATATTTTTGCAACCTCGCGAAAAAGAGCCAGTTCCTGCTGCTACTACTACGGTTGCACCTTCGGAAGAAGTGGAAGAGGTGTCCCAGGATAGGACACCGGCATCTGAAGAGACATAAAATACAATCATCGGCTGCACAGTAGAAGTCATCATCAGCTACATCAGCATCATTTCTACTGCGCATCATCATTCAAATTTTAATTTGACTTCTTTCATGTTGAGTATAGTAACAATCATTTTTTTTTAAATTAAAGTGTTATTGCTTAATAGTTGTGTTTGTTATTAATAGAGTACTGTAATAGGTGGGTTGTTAACAGTACAGGGAGGGTTTTTAAAGTCCAAATACACATTAAATTAGTACTGTAAATATGGTGTCCCTACTTTGCAGAAATTCAGTTATCGTAGTCGGTCTTGGAACCAATCTACCGCAATAAATGAGGGATCACTGTGTATATATATATATATATATATATATATAAATTAAATTAAAAAAATTTAATTTATTCTTTCTTTCTTTTCATGAAAAGAAAAAAAAACAATTTAAATGAAATCAGAATAAAATTAAATTTATTAGTTTACTGAAATTCTATCATGTAAAATTCCTGTCTACTAAAAGTGGAGCATACACACTAATCAAATAAACTGTATCGCCTAAGAGGAAAATTCAATCTCCTAAAATCAACTAAATAAAAATAGTTAACTTACTGTAGAGCTACTACATACTGCACTTGTCTATTTTTATTTTAGAAAACATTTGAAGCTTTAACCAGAAAACCTGTCTTGTGAAGCTTAAAATTCAATATTTACCCACACCCCAAATTTAGCTCCTGATCTTAACTATATTTTTTTGAGGTTTCAAGGAATCAAGTTCATATTTTGTCATTTCATACTTAAGAATCTTCAATTAATAATAAATATAATAACATGTAACAGAATATACAGAGAGAGCTGCTTCAGGAATAAATGTTAAAAGAATTGCTATTGAAACTATTTGAGATTTTTTGTTCAGAATTTGAAACAGGGAATTTTAGTTTCTAATTTTTCCTCTTAACAATTTGCAGAACTGACCCTTCATGATTTTTTACTATTTTCCATTTTTATTTTTTGGCTCACACATACATGTAAGTAACATGGTATTATTTGCATGCAGACTACTGCCCTCATCTTTGTTATCACATTTTGGCACCTTGTGTCCTTCAGCCTTCATCAGGTATTTATCGTCCAGGTAACCTTCAGGGAATTTCAAACTGAACCTGTTATTTAATTTATGGGGTTAAATTGTTCTACAAACTGAGCAGTACTAAATATGAACTAGATGAGATATTTCTAGATATCAGAGGTACAAGAACAATCTACCCCCCATAGACTGAATAAAGGGTTCAGGTTGAAATTTCCTGAAGGTTACCCAGATTGAGAAGTGCCTAACAACAACTGGAGGGTACAGAAATTGAAACATTGTGATGATAACAACAAAGATGAGGATAACAAGTCCACATGTAAATAATGATAACTCCTCATCCCAGAAATGCAGACAAATGTACTAGTCTCATATTTTCTATTCTTAAATGTCAACTTAGGGCTATAACATCTGTTTCTAGAATCCCATCATTGTACTTATATAGATATATATTTTTTTTTCAGATTTCTTTTTGCTTTTACAGTCACCCAGTACACCACTTTTGATACAAGACATTTTTCACTTAATGGCCATTCTTTCTTCCTACAATCACTGTGTGAGTGAGTGGAGGTGAAACATGACTTAATATTTAGCACTCTGCATCATTTATAAATATTACTTCCTCTTTTACTGTATATGGAATCCCCTCAAAACATAGTGTTTTATATATTAGTGCTATATATTTTAAATTACAGTGGCTTTACTCACAATTTCAGTTAAGATTGTTTTAGGTGTTGCCATAAGATATAACTACTCAAACAAGAAATTAAAATTCAACTTGCATTGGCAGGACTCAAATTTTACTTGGTGAAACTAGTCACCTACAGAGTGCTAAAAGATCAATTATACTTTTTATCAATTATAGCATATTCTTTGTACAATGATAAATGATTTTCACCAGGTTCTTATTAAATATTTTGTGTAAATTTCTTTGGTAAAATGCTTGCCTAATTTAAAAAACATCCTCAGTCATTTTTAAGTAGTTAAGACATCAGCAGTGGACCTAAAGGAATGAAAACCATAAGTTTATTTCTCAGGAAGTAATCAACAAATTTCTTCTTGGTGATAGTGTCAGCTAAGGAAGCTGATGGGGCAATATTGTGATATGGATGAGTAGTGGAAAACTCTGCTGCAAACAGCCACCTTGGAATCCTCTAGTTAGCAGCTTCCAAAATGTGGACCTCATGATGGTATACCATACTAGGATAGCTGATGTTATTTTATCACAATAAAAAAAGTCAGTTGCATACAAAGTGGCAGAAAAAGTAATCCACAAAGGTAGAGTATTGAATAGTTGTTTTGAGATATAGTGACATTTTATTAACTAAAAATTGTCAGAACCTTTTAAATTAATCCAACAGTAAAGAAAAAATATTTTTACTATTAAATCCATTCTTTTGAAAATTCTACCATTTTTCTCAAAAGAGAAGTTACTAAAATTGTTTATAATATGAAAAATCTGAGAGTGCTGAAGTTGCCTTGAAACCAACTTGGTAGAAAGAACAAAAATCAGAATTTGGGAGTTACTTAGAGAAGAATGAAAACAATGAAAATTACTCACTTTTCAGCTTTACTTTGGTTTGATTGTATGTTGTCTTTACAAAGGAAAATCTTGAGATCTCCTGTGAAAAAAAAATCAGCATCATAAAATTACAAAGAATATATTATTTTTATTTAAAGCATTTATCCAATAGAAACGTTAATACTTGAACACTATAAAGAAGCTGTATAAATTTATTTTTCTATGTTAATGTTGAAAAATAACATCTTAAAAATAAATCTTACTTCCTTTGTGTCACATAGCTGGATCTCATCACTAGATATTTTTGTTAGAAGCTTTTTCATTGTTAAAAAATTATATATCCCATAAGTTTAGATCATGAAACAGAAAATAAAAAAAAGTTTCATTTTTGTCATGGATTTTGTTTTGGTGCTTTAATGAAAGTCAAAGATCAAATGATTGTTTGGACATTAAAGTGATGACACCGAAAGTGATCATACCACACCCCTCCCACTTTTTTTTTCCGGAAATGTCATAATTAAAAAAAAATATAGGGCAAAAAACATGTCCTTCCACAGGATAAAGTCTAAAACAAGAATACTTATGAATGTAATAATGTAAACATGGAATGAATAAATCAGAGATTATGATAGCAGAGGAGCAAAAGCAACAATAGATCATAAAAATATGGAAGGATGTATAGCATTAAAATCTGATGTTAAGACCAGAACTAGACAAGATGGAGAGAAAGAAAGCTGCAGGACCAGATTATAATATCAGCCTTAGATGATCTGGTGGGGAGGAATCAATAAGGTTACTTAAATAAATGAAATACATGACAGTGGTAAAATACTGGAAGACTTCAGTCGATCTATTTTCATATTGATACCAGATAATAATGAATGTAACCCTGATTGAATAATCAGGACAAATACAGTATGGCCTTGTTGAAGACACTTAAAACAAGAAATACTACATATGCAGAAAGACCAATACCTATGTTTTACAGATTTACACAAAAACATTTGTTAAAGCCTATTTGAAATACTTGACTGGAAACAATCTGCATGTGGCTAGAGAATGAATTCAATGAATATACAAAAAAAAAAAAAAAAAAAAAAAAAAAAAAAAGTATGATAAGAAAGCATTTTCTAGCTGGATTTATTCAACTCATACAGCAAGAGAGTCTTAAGAGAACTAGATGCTCTACCAGGATTTATTAACAATCTTAACACAAGATGAACAGATGATACTGTAGCAATGGTAGATTCAGAGATGAAACTTAAAAGGTAGAAATAAAAAGCAAAGAGATGGGACTAACTATTAACAGTAAGAAAATAATGAAGATCAGCAAAATAGACAGTCTAAGGTGTGAGCTACATATTGGGGATGTCAAAATGAAGCAGGTAGAGAAGCTGATGTCGAGTATTCTGCTTATGTCTTCTGTACCACTTGCTTATTCTACTACACACTATGAGCATTGTCTACAGAATTACTACTGTCCTCTAGCAAGTAATGTGGCCACTTATATAGTAAGTGGCAGGTGTCAATACATTTGCATAGGCGTGATGGCTATGTGTGTTCATAGGCTTTGAACTGGATTTCCCATTACATCTGCGGCAACTCAAACATGCTTCATATTAGGTAAGCCATGCTCTGTGTTATTGCACTCCTTTGATCTCCTGATCACATGGGTGACAGCTGGGGTTAGGGAGGGGTGTCCTGTCCTGTGCTTCCCTGTAGCAGAAGTGAAGAAGTTTGTGTGTCTAACATGGGAGGACCATCTGTTGAGGTGAATCAGACGGGGAGGGGGAGTCTCTTCATTCGAGTCTGGCAGGTGTTACTGTTATGGTAACCAATCTACAATAGAATGAACTCTTCCGCCTTCATAAATACTAACCTGCAAGACTTCCAAAGACGGGACGCAGTGTAACCTGACAGTTTGGATGGACACTTCTATCTTCTGACTAATAACACTCTTATTTTGTATATATGTTCTTTTATTTCAATACACTTATTCAACCTAACTTCTTCTTTCCGTGTCTTTCTTTCTGGCCCCTAACAGACCACAACAGTTATGAATTTGGACTCGGGGACTGGTCAAATTCATATATCCTCAAAAGTAGAATTTCTCACACCAGTAGACACAGATGAGATATCTGGAAATTAAAGTGTGTCATGGTTGCATGTAGGTTGATTGGCATCGCACACATCTTTCCAGGCAAAAATTAGGTGAATTTACCCCCCAAAGTTGTTGAGATATGAACATTTTGTTCTTTTATGCTCAGTCAGTTTTATTTCTGCTTAGTTGTTTTTTTTTGGGGTGGGGGGTTATAAATAAAAGGAGCTTATACTTTTAATCACATGTTTTGCAATATCTTCATTTTGGTTGCTTGAAGATTCTGTGTTACATCTTCCCTTATTTGCTTGTGATGGAGTTACATCCGATAAAATTGTCGGACCCAATACCAGCAATTCACTTGGCGTTGTCTGGACAGACAGTATAAATATAAGGTTTGTGACTTAATACTTGTCACCCTCACGAGGAGTGAGCCCCAGTCAGAGAGGTTTCTTGACACAGGTCATCATCATCTGTTGTGTCACTGGGCGTTTGTGTGGAATCCTTGCCTTCTACTGGTTCTGAGGACTGTCTTTCACCTTCCATTGTGGGGCAACCAGAATCAATGAGCATTGTACGTGACATCCCGTCAATTTGGACTGTGATTACCGGTAGTGCTAAGTTTTTATTTGCTCCTGGGAAGAGACTGGCACTATCATCTATTCCCCCGTCTCATTTCTTGGACAGGTACGCACAAGGTGACCCATAATGTGGCACCAAAAACAACACATTTCTCAACATGACCTCCACTCATGCACCCTACCTACCTTGGATGTGGTAGCCATTTGACAGTTGAGGAAGTCCTGTGCCAGGTGGCCCAGATATTACAGGTGTAGCATGTAATGTTGGCATGAGGACAAACAGGGATGCCAAAACTTCCAGTTCGTGTCACTTGTGATGCTGCTGCCATTATCGCTGTTGGTTCCAGTGCGTCATCCTTTAGGATCACATCAGCACCTGATCAATAAACAGCGTGTCTATTCTCAATGAAGCACAGAGGAGTTGTTTGACCCGGGCTGGTAGCCCAGTTACAAATGTGCACCTGAGTGTGCAGTTGCTCACCATGCCAAACAACATTGCCAGCTTCCGTAGCTCTGCCAGATAAACGTCATTGTCAGATTGCATCCAGCGTGCCATGAATTACTCACATGCTGAGAACTCGTCAGTTGCAAAGGCCATATATAAGGCAGTCTTTATTTTGTCTGCATCCGCATTCTCATCTCAATTACTGGTAGACAGCAAACGCACCCCCTGTCAGTCTCAATGGAATGACATATTCCAGCCACTTCATGTTGCACAATCTGCAGACATGTCCTGCCTTTTCCATCCACCTGACCACCAATCCAGCACCCTCAAACAGGGGAATCAGCTTCAGATTGAAATTGCTGTCCATCTTAAATGTCGAAATAGTTTGTGTTAAGTATTCTGCTTATGTCTTCTGTATCGGTTTCTCTTTCTACTACACACCATGTGTGTTGCCTACAGAATTACTACTCTTCTCTAGCAAAGCAATATAGTTGCTTATATAATAAGTGGCAGGTATTTTTACATAGGTGTGATGTTCATTTCATCAAATGACAGTTGTTGCAGACATGCACTTGTAGGCTTCAAACCAAATTTCCTGTTACAGATGCAGTAACTCAAACATATTTCGTACCAGGTAAGCCATACTATGCATTATTACAGTTTAACCATCTGGGTAGTGACAGGCAATAAAAAAAATGTCATACAGAAATCTGAAGGTGCAGAATACAAAAAAAAAAAAAAAAAAAAAGCAACATATCATGAGATGGGAAAATATAAAAGACACAGAAAGGCACCTCACCTACATTACAGTGAATGATGAACAAATCTTAACACAAATAAAAACTTGAAGCAACAAAGGTTTCTATTATTGACAGCTAAGAATACCATGGACAGAATATATGAGCAACAAATAAATTTTAAAAAAAGGTAAATAGTAACAAACACTTATACTTACAACCAGAAAGAGATAGTTGAAAACAGTATCTAGAAAATTTAACACTTTCTGTGCATACTGAAGGCAAGAAAACAGCAAGTAACCTAATAATGAGTTTGCATGACTGAATTACAGAAAATATGATTGGATCAAAAGTTACTAAAAGCCACAAAAGACAAGTTGCCATGAGCCATAATTGTAGACATCCTGAAGTGATTTTCTTTTGCACTTAACATGAATGTATTTTTTCTATTAAATCAGTATTTTTTATGATACTAGTTAACTTATTTAAAAAGAAAATTTATTTGCAGACACGAAAATAACGCACTTACAATTTTTTGTTGTTTGTTCTATGAATGATTATTGGGAATGTCAATGTTTTCAACAACTCATTTTTTGAAGTTTTTATAAATACAAATTCCAAGATATTTCTTATATTAGATGGAAAGTGTATGGTATATAATCAGCATTAAGCAAATATGCCGTGTTGCCAAAAGAATGATTAAGTTACAAATCTTGGAAAGCTTACAATCATCTACATTTCAGGATGCAGAATGTACAATAGATCGAATTTCAGACAAACTTTCAGTTGCTATATAAAAACTAAACAAGATCTACCAGAAATTTTGGGAATGCAACTTGAGAGGAGAAACTTTCAGTTTGCATATTTGTTTAGCAGCATATCAACACCTTCATGGGTCATTTAATGACCAAATTTAATTCTCTTTGGAGAATTATTAATTTCTTTTACAAAAATGTATTGCTAAAATTTTTTTTTTTTTTTTACTACAAAAATGTAAATACTTTCATGGTATTTTGACACCAGTTTGGGAATTAAATATTTGCACAAGGCTGAGACTAACAGGTGTTACCACCCCAGGTCAGGGTAGATATGAGAACAACAGCAATTAAGAGGTGGTTCCATGCTCCTCAAAATCTCCTGATCAGAGGCCTTGCTGCTGGATGTAGCTTATTGTCATACTCAGGACGGTTGCATGTTAGTAAGAGAGGTCTAATTAACCCCATTTGTGTTAATGTTTAG